CAGCGGAAAAATGAAAATCAATGAGAAAAATGATCATTTTCTTAGGAAAAATGGTGTAGAAAAATGGATTTATGTTAATAGATGTGAGAAAAATGCATGAATATTTTGACTTTTATATATATTTGTTAGTGGATGGTTTTGAAAGATGGAAAAATGAGTTTTAATGTAGGAAAAATGATTTTATATGAGATAAATATACAGATATATCTTTTTCTCTAGCGGAAAAATGTAAATTCATTGGAATAATGGTTATTTCTATAGGAAAAATGATTTGAAAAAATGAATAAATGTATATGATTATGAGAAAAATCCTTTCTATAAGTGACTTATTTACATAGCATCTCTAGCGGAAAAATGAAAATTCCATAGGAATAATGCTTTTTTCTATGAGAAAAATGATTTGGAAAAATGGATAAATGTATTGACTATCAGAAATATCCTTTCTATGTATAAACCTTTCTATACATGACTTATCTATAAAGCATCTCCAGCGGAAAAATGAGAATCCATAGGAATAATGATATTCTTCATAGGAAAAATGGTTTAGAAAAATGGATAAATGTATTGACTATAAGAAATATCCTTTCTGTATATAAACCTTTCTATATGTGACTTATCTCTATAGCATCTCCAGCGGAAGAATGAAAACTCTATAGGAATAATGCTTTTTTCGATGGGAAAAATGGTTTTCAAGCATTAGAAAAATGAAAGTCCATGGGAATAATGCTTATTTCTATAGGAAAAATGATTTTGAAACATTGGAAAAGTGCTTTAGAATAGAAAGAAATTGATGCTCAGTATAATAGCAGTATTACTAACGCGAACCTCGAAACTACCGCAAAAATCGTATTAATCACAACAGTCATGACGTTCAACTGAAGAGCTCTGAGAGACAGTCGTAGTTTCAAAGCTTGCTATTATTTTGTTTATTCAGTTCGCCCTTTAGCGAGTTTTGCTTGAAATATTGTAGTTTACATTCATTTCTAAGATAATACCGGTATATGTTAATAGTGATCAACTTTTCGATCAACATGGCAAATATTTCAGTAAAGCGAACAGTATTACCAGATGAAGTTTGTTTTCTTTTCTTTCTATTCGCACATTGTTACGATACATATCACATGTCGAGATCTTCTATTTATATATGACTAGAATACGCCGTACAAAGCGTAACATGGTAGAAATAAAGAAAAAGAAATGGCTAATGATAGTGATCTAGGCATTGGCTCTTTTAAAGGGGACCAACAAACTGTGTTTGCGCGTAATCGAAACACGTGTCTTCTCCATGCTTCACTAAAGAAAAACCGTGCATCTATCTAAAAATAATAAAAATGATAGAAAGACTAAAACAAGAATTAATCGAGATCAAATACAAGCATTCAACGTTATTAAAAGACAGTGATATAATCCTATAATTGAAATGACTGGACATAAGGCAAGAAGAAACGAAGACATGCATTACACCATCATACTACAAGAAGTCGTACTTAACAAAACGACAGTGATCCCCCAATTATAATAATCGAACATAAAGAATGAAGTCCCAACAATACTATTTATATAATATCAAATTCTCAACTCGCCCCGATAATCCTTCCACTAGAATCGTATATTTTACTAATATTAGAAGCTAGAGGAACCGGTATCCTATCTTTTCACCAAGGCAATATACCAGTACGCGATCAATAAAATGCTTTTCGTAGAGTTAGCTTCATTTCTATAAATGGCATTGTCTAAAGAAATAAGCATTATCAGGAGAGAATTCTCCTTCTCCGTTGAATAAACTGTAAAAAAGTCATGTATCAAAACAATTTTTCACATAGTAAATGCATTTATACATCTTTCCAAATTATTTTTCTAATAGACGTAACCATTATTCCTATGCATTTTCATTTTCCCCCCGGAGTACTATATAAATAAGTCATATACAGAAAGGATTTTTCTCATAATCATATACATTTATTCATTTTTTCAAATCATTTTTCCTATAGAAATAACCATTACTCCAATGAATTTACATTTTTCTGCTAGAAAAAAAGATATATCTGTATATTTAAATCTAATATATAATCATTTTTCCTACATTAAAATGCATTTTTCCATCTTTCAGAACCATCCACTAACAAATATATATAAAAGTCAAAATATTCATGCATTTTTCTCACATCTATTAACATAAATCCATTTTCTACACCATTTTTCCTAAGAAAATGATCATTATTCTCACTGATTTTCATTCTTCCGCTGACAAAT